GGCGCGGGCCGAGGAGGTGAGTGATTCGCAGGAGCGGACGCGGCGTCTCAGGGTGGCCTTGGTGCCGTCCATGGCCGTTTGGAGACCCGGGCCGGGCCGCGAGGCCCGGGCAGCCCAGTTGAACGTCCCCAAGACCCCTGCAGGACCTGCCCGAGGACCCCAGACTTGGGGCAGGGACCGCCAGGCAGCATTTCTGACTCTCGTGAAGCTATCTCCTGTCCGTTCAGCCCGCCTCCGTCGAGTGATATACCACTTTTCTAGGGACGCAGCGGGAGTGTCCTGTAGGAGCCGTAGGCTTGGCCTCTGACCCTGCCCCCAGCCCGACTCTGGGTTCTATCCCCAGAGCTAGCTGGTGGCTCAGCATGTTTTCCTAAATACCTCCCAGACACTTCTGCCCCTGTTCAGGCGACCGACCCCCTTACTGTTAGGACACCTGGGCACGCTTCCTGGTTTCCGCTCCAGCCGTTCTTTAGGATGTAGCCAAGGATCGTTCCAACGCGCTTAACCTGTGTTGCCCATCCCCAGCTCAGGACTCTTCTATGGTTCCCTGTTTGCCCCAGGATGAAGTCCAAACTATAGAGCTCAGCAGGCACGGCCTGATCCAGACTTGGAAAGGTTCTGTGGGACTTGTGTTGCTCACCCCTTCCTCCTAGGTTCTGCTCTTACTAGGAGCCTCCAGTTCATGGAACACTCTGTCGCCTCTGGGGGTTTTCCTTTGCTCTTCCTTCTGTCCCATTTCTTGTCTTCTGCACCCACTTTCTCAGCATCCTTCAGACTGTGCCTTCTCCCAGGCAGCTTTCCCACCCTGACTGGCTCTGTGCGGTGCCATCAGAGTTGACCATATGTAGGTCATGTTACAGTGTTTCAGTTGTTTCGTTGCTTTTTGGTTTTCATAACACCCCTAGCCTGCATAGGACCTGATGCAGAGGGGCACATACTTACATGCTGGTGGATGGGATTGATGGTGTTCAGGGTGCCAGGGGCATGGGCCCGGTGAGTGAGGCATCTGGGTGTGCACTACCTAGTCTAATGCCCATTAGTGACACAGGGAGGTTCCAGCTGTTGGTAGCTAAAGGAGAGACTGTACCCTGCCCTGTGAAAGCTGGCATACCCTAGAGGTTCTTTTTTTCTTGTAGCTTCTCTTTTTTTTTGAACCAGAGTCTCATTTTGTCACCCTTGGTAGAGTGCCATGGCATCACAGCTCAAAGCAACCTTTGACTGTTGGGCTCAAGCGATTCTCTTGCCTCAGCCTCCCAAGTAGCTGGGACTACAGGCGCCTGCCACAACACCTGACTTTTTTTATTGTAGTTATTGTTGTTTAGCTGGCTGGGGCTAGGTTCTGTCGAACCCACCACCCTTGGTGTATGTGGCTGGCACCATAACTGCTGTGCTATGGGCACCAAGCCAAGCCAGCTTCTCCCTTAAATCTTTGCTGCCTACTGTTTGTCCATTCCTTTACCAAAAGGTTTTTGCACCAAAGAAGATGCTGGTCTATCTTCCTGGAGTTTCTAGTTTGTATATGTGGTGGGAGGGGACCCTGTTAAGCATGTAAATACGAGATGCAGTGACGTGATTGCATGTGAGGGGTCCTGACCCACTCTGGATGACTCTGAGAGCATTGGGAGTGAGATTCAAAGGATAGGAGGGATGGGCAAGGATGTCTAGTGGGGCTGGAGAAGGGGGTACCCAATGAGGCTGAAGTGAGCAGTGCAGCTTGTCTTGGGAATCAAGGTGTAGAGAAGAGAGGAGTGAGTCTGGATGGGTTGGCCTGAGCTGGCTGCAGGCCTGGTGGGCTGTGGCAGGGAGGGGTTGATCTCAGTTCTGTAAACAGTAGGAGGCCCTTGGAACCCCTGGAAGATGAAAGGGAGGCGAAAGGGAGGCAGCATCATGATCAGATTTGTGTCATGAAAAGGTGATTTGGCTGCTGGGGGTGGTGTCCTAGAAAGAGGAGGGTGACTGTGTTCAGGTCAAAGGTGACAGAGGTGGGACCTGGTGATGCTTGAAGGAAGACAGACAGAGCCCACAGACCCTGCTGACAGATTGTATTGGATTTGATCTGGGTAGTAAGGTGTTGAGGATAACACCCACATTTCTGGCTTGGTTAGTGGAGTCTTGCCTGCTTTGGTGTGACCTTTCATTTTCCAGGGGTTCCAGAGGCCTCTGCCTGCCCACTGGGCTCTCAAAACTGACCTTTCATAGTGGCACTCAAATTTCAGACACTTCCCAGCCAACCAGCCCTAATTGAGTATCACCTGTTTGGGGCCTAGACCTTTTTGAGAATATGATGAAGCTGACATTTATTAACGTCAAACTATGGACCTTGGGTCTGGGTCGTTCTTTGGGGTGGGTCTGTCTTGAGCACTGGAGGGTGCTGAGCAGTGTTCTTGGTCTCTTACTTACCCCATGCCAGGGGGACTCTTAGTCATGACACCACAAACCTTTTCCACACATTGATGGGTGTCCCCAATAGGGCAGAATCCCATTTGAGAACCAATATAATAGCTTTGAAAAGCACTCACATGGAGGGCAGCGCTTGTGGCTCAGTGAGTAGGGTGCTGGCCCCATATACCGAGGATGGTGGGTTCAAACCTGGCGCCAGCCGAACTGCAACCCAAAAATAGCCGGGCGTTGTGTCAGGTGCCTGTAGTCCCAGCTACTTGGGAGGCTGAGGCAAGAGAATGGCTTAAGCCCAGGTGTTGGAGGTTGCTGTGAGCTGTGACCCCACCGTACTCTACCAAGGGCAATAAAGTGAGACTCTGTCTCTAGAAAAAAAAAAAAAAGAAGAAGAAGAAAAGAAAAGCACTCACATGATGCTTGCTTCTCCCTTGGGGTTTGGGGTAGATGATGCTGTCCACATCCCCACCCTGGCTTTCACAGCTTTGTACTTTCCTCCCTGTGTGCCCCTGAGTCGAGGTGGCTGGGATGTGGGTCCTTTCACATCTCAGGCCTAAGATTTTTTTTTGGGGGGGGGGGGCATGAGCCATGGATGTGGGCTGCAGCTGTGTACCCTTTGTGTGTCGAGCCAACTCTGAACTGTCTCTTTGGCCCAGTGGTTTTCAAAAGTCGAATGTGCCAGGGTGTTCTGCTGCTGAAATTGAGTTGGGAATGTGTCTTCCTCCCTTGTTTCGATCTATAATCTGCAAGGAAAGATGTAGTCAGGGATCTGTTTTTCTCAGACCTTTGTATTTTCTTGGTGTCTATCAGTTGGCAGCTCCATAGAAGATTGTGGTTGCTTTAGCAACTTAGCTGTTGTCAGTTGAATACAGCGTTTCACTATGTTTTGCTAAAAGGAACATCTGAGTTTCTGCTCTGAGACCCCTTGCCCTGGAACTCCCTTCCCTTTTATCTCCTTCCCTGTTGGGTAAGTAGAATCTGCATTTATAGATGCTGAGAGGGAGAATAAGTGATTCGCCCAACGTCATGGAACCCCTAAGTCCGTGCTGGAGAAGCAGCTCTGGTTTCCCCTGACTCCCACTCAGCCTTCCCTGCCTGTCAGCAGACTGACTCTGGCCTAGCCCTGAGATCAGGGAAGAGCCATTGTCCTAGCTCAGTAAGGCCTTCCAGCCTGTGATGTATCCTGCCTTTGTTTCTAGAGCCTTTGTTTGTTACATTTCCTTTGCCAGGGTTCCTCTTTCTGTAGACCTGGCAGTCCTAAGAAGACCCTGTGAGCCATGGACATCTGTCTTTGCCCTGGCTGCTCCTGTCCCCTGGGGGTGGGAGATGAATCCTTGAGGACTGCAGAGATGGACTAGGGAATGGTCAGGACAGCATTGTGGATTGAGGCCTGGCCTGGGGTAGGGGCTTCCCTGGGCCTTGGGCAGGGACGCATGGAAGAGGCTGGGATGGGGCCTGGGTCTGATCCATAAATACCCCTCACCCTGTTGACTGGGCCATCATAGCAAGGGGTGGTGATTTACAAGCTCAGGGTACACTCTGTGCTTGGTTGTGGGTGGTAGGCTAGGTGTCAGGGGCAGCAGTCTGGACAGGAGAGGGTGAGACTAGAATTAGGGCCAGAGAAGATTTGGACCCACCCCTCCACACCTGCACAGGTGACAATGGCACCCTAGAAGGACCTCCACACCTCACTGTTCCCCTGCAGGGTTTCCCACTGCACGACATGGAGACCTGTGGCTGCGAGGCTCCTGGGGGCTTGGCTCGGACCGCGATGGGGCTGGGCTGTGGCCTCTTAACAGGGCTCTTGTCTGGGGCAGTGGCCAGGGGACACCCTTCCCCCTGCCCACGACTTGGAGCACCCCCACCCCTCCCCTGCCGGGTGAGGCCGGGCGGTGCCCGCCATGAACGGCCTGTCAGTGAGTGAGCTCTGCTGCCTCTTCTGCTGCCCGCCCTGCCCTGGCCGCATCGCCGCCAAGCTCGCCTTCCTGCCACCAGAGCCCACCTACTCGCTGCTGCCTGAGCCTGAGCCGGGGCCTGGTGGGGCCGGTGCTGCCCCCTCAGGGACCCTGCGCACCTCCTCAGGCACTTCTGGGCGCTGGAAGCTCCACCTGACAGAGCGTGCTGACTTCCAGTACAGCCAGCGAGAGCTGGACACCATCGAGGTCTTCCTGACCAAGAGTGCCCGTGGCAACCGCATCTCCTGCATGTATGTGCGCTGTGTGCCCGGTGCCAGGTGAGCAGCTGAGGGGTGATGGGATCGTGTGGGCCCCAGGCAGGCACCTGGCTCAGGCTGCACCCTTCTTGGGGCTCCTACATCCACCTGGGACACTCAGTGTAGCTGGTGGCAGCCCCAGAGGACCAGAGCCAGAATGAAAGGCTGATGCCGGGCAGGTATTCTCTGACTAGCCTGTCCTTGTTCCTCATTGAGATTCTTCTTGCCAAAGAAATAGCAGCCAGATCTGTACAGGAACAGGCTTCATTCACCACAGGGCCACTGCTATTCCTGCTCCTGTGGGCAACTCTCTGTGAGACCTCAGTGCTCAGCTGCTGGTGGCTGCCTTGCCACTTGCTTGGTGCAGCTCTTCCTCTTGGGCCTTCTGGTTGCTTCTGCCTTCACGTGAGGTGGAATTCTGACGCCAGATCAGTCCAAAGGGCGAACTTTTGCCTTGGGGCTAAGCTGGGCCTCCTGGTACTGGAGGAAGTCCACGGCCAGGGCCAACTGGCCACCTGCTCTTGGTGTGATCTAGAGCCAGTTCTGTCCCTGAGAAGTGGACAGGCCTTGTGGGATGAATCATGTAGGAGAAGCAGAAGGTCTATAAGCAGGGTTGGGCTTTATTTGCTTTCTGGGAGGCCGGGCTAGAGTCCAGCTGTCCTCTAACAGCAAAGGGATCATTCCTAGAGAAAGACTAAGGGACATACAGCAGCAGAGCCACTTCTTCCAGGAATGGTCCAGGCTGTGGGCAGGTGCACCGTGGATCCAGAGGGCTGTTAGGGCCCTTCCAGGAGGAAAGGCTGCAGGGCAGATGGCCCTTGTCCAGAGGGTCAAAGGTGATGGCTGCTGTAGGTCTGCCCTGAGCTGAGAATATGATTGAGGGTCCCAGTATTCCCCTTCACAGGTGGGAATCCTGAGGCTCCCCTGGTCAACCCCCACAGTCAGGGAAGCTGGGCTACTACTCTGCAGCCCATCCTCACTCTCCTGTCCTCTCTCTGTGGGAACACCTTAGAATGGAGTTGGGTTCCATCCTGGCTCCTCTTGGCTTTCCCCTCACTGGTTGTGTGACCTCTTGAGAGGCGTAAATGTGGCATTTGATGTTGGTTGGCCACCAGGGTGGACTGTCTGTCTGGAGTTCTGCCACCCAGGTGCCTGGATCTGAATGGGACCTATGAGCAGCCCTCCCCCCACCCACCAGGTACACGGTTCTCTTCTCTCATGGCAACGCAGTGGACCTGGGCCAGATGAGCAGCTTCTACATCGGCCTGGGTACCCGTATTCACTGCAATGTCTTCTCCTATGACTACTCTGGCTACGGCGTGAGCTCAGGCAAGCCCTCAGAGAAGAACCTCTATGCTGACATCGACGCTGCCTGGCAGGCCCTTCGAACCAGGTGAGGGTGGCTGCAGGTGATAGGCCACCTGTGTCTCTTCAGGGGAGGGGCCCAAATCTAGTGCCACAGACTGGCTTCTCTGGGAAAGGAAGAGGGTAACCCTGTAGGAGGAGAACCACAGCAAATATACAGAGCCAGAGTGGAACAGGTGGGCTTGAGCATGAGGATACCATCTCTGTTGATGAGGCAGGCTGACTGTCTTCTGATTGCCCAGGATGTAGCCCCTCTTCCTTGCCATCCCTCCTGAGAGCCCCTGGCCTCAAGGGCTGGGATTAGGGCTGTGGTTGTCCACAGGGGAGTGGAGGCTACCTGGTAGGAGGCAGTGGGCAGAGGACACTGGCCCAGGAGGGAGTGCTTAGGATGAGACCTCATGGTGATCAGGGCTCTTGCATCTGGGGCCTGGAGTCCAGAGCTCAGGGGGCATCTGGCTGTGGGGCTCAGCCTCCTTCTGGATGAGGTGGGTCCCTGAAAAGTGGAGTTCAGGTTCTGGATGAGTGGACAGGCTACTTGCTGCCCAGCAAAGCCATATGGCTGGTAGGAGGTCAGGGGTATAGGCCCTCAGCACACATGAGGTCTGAGCCAGCCTCCACTCCAGACCCTGCACCCCTGGTCATGCAGCCCTTGGGCAGCCTCTCCCACCTACCTCCTTCATGGGCTGCTCAGTTGCTTCCAGGCTACACAAGCCTGTCCCTTGGAGGAAATGCCCTACTCTTTGCCTGCTGTCTGGGCCCTGCCCTGCTAACTCGTCTGACATGCTCTGGCAGGGATCAGGTGCAACACTGAGGAGTTGGTGCTCCTGGGGTGGTGGCGGTGGGAAAGGCTGTTTACTATGGTTATATGCCAGGAAGTCCCTGCTGCAGGCCTGGGAGCCAGGTCCTCAGCATCACCCGGGCACTAGGGGGCCATCATGGGCTTCTTGGCAGTGTTGGGTACCAGTGCTGAGCATGTGTCCCGTGCTATAGGGACACGAAAGTCTAATTTCCCAGCCCTTTCCTGCTTCATTGCTCAAGGAAACTGGCAGTCACACCCACTGTGTGAGCCACTGTGGACCCACTCAGAACTCTTAGCTCCAAAGTTGTTCTGAAACCTCAACCTGGCAGCTGTGAGGGTGAGCGGGAAGGAGGAAAGGATCTGCATTTGGGATGTGTCACGTTTATCCAGGTAGTGCTTCGGGACTCCTGCCAGGTGCCATGAATGGGCTGGTTTAACACCCTGGTGCTCATGCTGCTGGGCAGCAGGCCCAAGAGGCTGTGGCAGAGCTGTAGGGCAACAGGCAGGAGTGATGTATGGATTCCTGAGTGTGGGTTGGTGGTTAACTGTGGGGTGCTGCCAGAGAACTGGGGGTCCAGCCAAGAGGGGAGACAGATACGGCTGGTGGTTCAGATGCGGAAATGGAGTCACAATGCCCAAGTGAGTGGCCCAGGTAAGATGTAGTACTACCCTGGTCCCATGCACCAGGAGGGGCATCACTTTGGGGTCAGGGTCAGAAGCCAATGGGAGGGGACCTGTAGAACACTGCATGGCAAGGTGTCCAGGAGTGCCTGTGCAGTTGGGAGTGGGCATGAGGGGGTCAGCTGGGCAGGGTGGGAGGTGGGGTATGGCCCCAGGACCTGTGTACTAGGAAGAGAATATGGTGGTAGAAAGAGGTACCACCCACCACCTGCAGCATCCGAGGTCGCTGCCAGCCTGTGTTGTGAGCATCTCACCAGGCACGGAGGCTCTGAGGCACCTTAAATTGCTACTGAATATCCTGGGACATAGCTACCTACCCCTACAACTGGGGCTGGGGAGTAGGTACAGGCAGGAAGGCCTAATCAGGAAGACCTGGAGCAGGCACGAAATGTTTCTAGAACAGGAGGGTCGCCAGGGCCTACCCTGCCCCTTGTCCCCTGCTCCCCATGGGCCCTCCCCACACGTAGTCCAGGTGGATGCTGCCCAGGAGTCTAGAGCCATTGAGCTGGGGGTACGCGTAAACCGCCTCATCAGTGTTTGAGACAGGGAAGATCGTGGCCGGACCCCACTGGCAGACGTCCCAGGGAGACTGGGAGATTGCTCTGCGAGCTGGCCCAGCTTTGGGAAAGTCAGCGGGCCAGGAGGGGTATGTGCGCATAAGGGCCGCCGCTGATCATGCCCCGGCACCTCCAGGTACGGCATCAGCCCCGACAGCATCATCCTGTACGGGCAGAGCATCGGCACGGTGCCCACCGTGGACCTGGCCTCGCGTTACGAGTGCGCAGCCGTGGTGCTGCACTCTCCGCTCACCTCGGGCATGCGCGTCGCCTTTCCCGACACCAAGAAGACCTACTGCTTCGACGCATTCCCCAAGTGAGCGTGGGGCGGAGCCCTCAGTGGGTGGGGCTAAGTGCAAGAGTGAACCCCCGGGTGGGCTGGCCTTGGCAGGGAGGGAAAGGCAAGGGGCCGGAGACTGACCGGCGGCGCCCCCTCTGCAGCATCGAGAAGGTGTCCAAGATCACGTCGCCTGTGCTTATCATCCACGGTACGGAGGACGAAGTGATCGACTTCTCTCACGGGCTGGCGCTCTACGAGCGCTGCCCCAAGGCCGTGGAGCCACTGTGGGTGGAGGGCGCTGGGCACAACGACATCGAGCTGTACAGCCAGTACCTGGAGCGCCTGCGCCGCTTCATCTCCCAGGAGCTGCCCAGCCACCGCGCCTAGTGGTGGCCAGAGCCCGCCGGCTGCCGGACATTAGCAATAAGGGGTCGCAGGTGGACGGGGGCGGCCGCCAGACCTCACCCCGCTCCATCCTGGGGGCTGCATGTGGACCCCCCTCCCCCGGGCCTCCCAGGACTCCAGGCGGTGGGCACTGGAATCCCACTCCTGCCTAGGGGCCGTGGACCATGTACAGGCAACAGAGCTATGCTCTCCCTTTCTTTTGGAAGCAAAAAGAAAAACCTGAAAACAAATTAAAGATTTGAAATTTTAGGGTTTCTCTTCCTTTCGTGGCTCCTGCCCGCTCTCTTGGGAGCGGCCAAGATTTTCCCGGCCTTGTCCCAGATGCCAGGAAAGACCGGCACGCGCCCTCTGGTGGACTTCATAAAAACAGCCTTCATGTCATTTTCCCCGCGCTAAAAGGGGTGCGACCGGTCTATTCCGGAGGGCCCCTTGAGCGGGCTTTTTCCTTGGGTGGTGGTAGGGTGAGGGACCGATTTGTCCCCAGATCCGGGGAGACTCCTGCCTCTAAAGCAACGTACCTACAGCCCCCGCCTGTGTGGCAGATGAAGCCTGTGAGGCATGCTGCCATCGCAGGACTGGGGCCCAGAAGACCGGCAGGAGGCTGTCCTCTGGGCCCCACCGCGGAGGGACCAGCCCAGCCCACCTGGGATCCTGAGGAGTCGGGCCGGGCGGATCCTAAGACTCTGATTAGGCCAATTCCTTTGCAACAAGGAAGCCGACATACAGAGGAGGGTAGTGGCAGGTCCGACCTAGGGTCTCCCCAGAGGCGGGGTCACAGGGAGCGCTCCTTGCAACACGCCATTTTCTCCTACCGCTCGGCGCCTTTGAGCTGTGTCCTCCGACTGGGACTCCCTTGAGGACAAGGCAGGGTGGGTCTCAAGCGACTCCAGCCTCCAGAGAGCTCCCTGTGACCTCCGTGGCAGGTCCCGGAGCCGGTAGATCTGGGGGACAGATGGCCTGTCATCCCGTCTTGGGCTTGGGGAAAGGCTCAGCTGTGTCGCAGGACGAGGCGGTTACGAGGCCAAGACCTGAAGTTGATTCCAGCTAGCCCCAGTACTAGCCCGAGTTGTTGTTCTAGTCCGAGGCCTCGCAGTAACCGCGGCCCATTTAAGAAGGGAGGGTGTTTTAGTTTGGGTATCACGAGCGGGAACCAGATCCAGGCGGAAGCGGAAATGCCGCTGTACGCGCGAAAGCGGAGGCGGCGGGCGAGGCGACTGGGAAGTTGATATCTGTAGATGGTACCTGCGGGTTGGAGCCTGCCGCGGGTTCGCAAGGGCTGGGACTGGCCCTGCCCCTTCCCAGCCGCAGCCGTCGGCACCTGCGCTCGTCTTTCGGACTTCGAAGTCTTGCGCTCCGCAGGGGTAGGACCCGTGCCCTACGCCTCGGCTCCAGGATGGGAGAACGCCCAGGCTGGCGGCGCGTTGCCGGGGCCTCTGTGCTGGCCTCCTGGGATTGTTTTTGAGGCTGAAGGAGCAGAGGACGTCTGCGCTGCCCGCTATCCTCTGCCCTGCCTGTACAGGGGCGTCGAACAGACTGCTCTTGGCCGCGGAAATGCGCTCACTCTCTGTGGCTCTTGGGCTCCTGGCGGCCTGACTCGGCCCACATTCCTAACACATACGACTTTCTGCCGCTCGCTGCAGTATTCCTCTCCCAAAGATTCCCTTCTCCCTATCCTGTACTCCCTTCTCGATGTTCCCACTGACTCCCTTGGACGCTGCTCTTGCCGCAGACCATATTGTCCTCTGACGCATGAGAATGCCAGCTCCTTGAGAGCTGGGGCTCCGCAGTGTACTCTGTGCAGCAAGTTTAAAGCAACTGTTTTGCAAGGGGCCAAAATGTTTTCAGGTGCTCACGAGCAAAAACTCGGCCTCTGAAAAGGTATTTGGTGAAAAATTGAAGCGTTTTTCTTATCCTTAAGCTTCAAGGCCCAGTTTTTCCCCTTTGGCAGAGATAAACCAATTTCATACGTGTCAACAAAGTTTGCATGTACATCTACATGGTTTCTGCGAAAGGTGGGTTACTTTACTTGGGACTCTTACTTACCATAGCTTGGAGAGCGTTCCATAAGTTCAGGTTGAATTCATATTTAAGCGGCCATTTACAGTGCTACAATTTACCCTGTTTACAATTTTCTTTCCTGTTGGTAGAAATTTCGGTTCTTTGAAGTCTTTCCTCACAATAATGTCAGGGTGACTCCTTTGTACTAGCATCTTTGCACCCAAGAAGGTATATTTCTGTAGGCTATAAATTCCTTAGTGCAGGAATGCTAGGTAGGTAGGGATTTAAGTAGCCCTCCTCCACCAACATCGGAAGGGTCCTAGTAGTGTCTCTTTGGCTAAGCTTGATTTTGTAGCCCTGGTAGGTGTAAGATAGTATTTATTTCACTGTAACTTTCTTTGTATTTCCTGTAAGTATCATTTAATGTCTAACTTTGTCACATTTATTTTGTGTTGATCGTATTTATCACTAATCATTTGGAAGTTGGAAAATGTATATTTATTATAAGCATTTATATGTTTTAAAACCATTTGTGTTAAATATTCTCTGCTCATTTTCCTATTGGGTTATTGGTGGTGGTGGTGTCTAGGAACTCTTTACATAGTAAGGAAATGAGCACTTTGTTTAAAAAGTTTCCTTTTCTCCTGTCTTTAGTCTTTGACTTTGTGGTTTTGTTTTCTTCTGTTTTCTTGTTTTTTAGCTAGGCATCTAAAAGTGTTGTTAGTAATTCTGAGTTTTCCCCCCTATGGCATCTGTATTTTGTGTTATGCTCAGAAATATCTTTTCCACTCCAAGATTATAAACCACTTGATATTTTCTTCTGGAAATTTAATGGTTTCTCTCTCTATACATACATATATATATACACACACACACACACATATATATTTATGCACACTTAAATATTTTGTCTAATTTTAGAACATACTTCTGGTAAGGAGTGAGGTGAAAAGCTAACTTCCCCTCCAAAATTGTTTGCTCCAATTTCATTTCCTCCAAAAAAGCAACTCTTTCCCCCAAGAAAGTGCTGCCTTTATGGCATTGCCAGATTTGGGTCTGTTTCTGGAAACTGCTATCTTAGAATCCATTGTGTTAATCACTTCATATCTGGAGGCCCCACGTCCTCTCAGAGAAAATAGTTGGTAACTTGCATATAGTGCATGCAATTCTGCTTCCATAAACACTTGGTGATAGAGTACCATACACCTTGAGTCAGCCCCATTTCTTTTTTCTTTCTTTCTTCTTCTTCCTTTTTTTTTTTTTTGAGATGGTCTCATTGCCCTCAGTAGAGGGCCGTGGCATTATAGCTCACAGCAACTTCAAACTGTTGGGCTTAAGCAATTCTCTTGCCTCAGCCTTCCAAGTAGCTGGGACTATAGGCACATACCACCACGCTCCAGCTATTTTTAGAGAATAGATCTTGCTTTTGCTCAGGCTGGTCTGGAACTCCTGAGCTCAAGCAGTCCACCTGCCTCCCAGAGTGCTGGGATTACAGGTGTGAACCACCATGCCCCACCCTATGCCCCATTTCTTAGCACCCATCCAGTGCTGCTCAAAGACACCTGTCTGCATCTGTGTGATGCTCCTTTTTCTCCCTCTGCCTGACCATTTCACTTAAGGACTAACCCCCACCCCCGGCCCTGCCAGTCTGCAGGTACTCGTCCGTCTCCATCCTAGGTGCCTATGAGAGAGAGGTATGCCCTCTGCTTCTCAACACCTCCATCTTAGGACCCAGGGGTACCATGCAGGAGTGCTAACCATGCTGAACCCACTCCCCTCTTCTACTTGGTATGGCCTGTGGCCAGGCTGCTTAGGAAAAGGGCCAACTTCCAGTTCTCCATTTTGTGGATTTTCCAGGACACCTTTACACCCTGGCCGCAGGGCTCTTCTGGGCAGGTGCCACCTGCATCTGACACCTCAGCACGAGGCAGGCCTCGGGTCTCAGGAGCCAATATCAGAAGTTGTATGCTTAATGGCCCATCAGCCAGCTGACTCTGGCCTAGGCACACCTGTACCCAGAGGCCTGAGGATACAGATCCTGCACAGGGGTGTGTGGTTGTAGCAGGTGTTGACAGGAAGATGGCAGACTGAGGCTTGGATCCTTCCCAGTGGGTGTGGTCTGGGGGCAATATCATGGACTATCCACCCTTGGGCTTCCTGTCTGGGGACCTGGCTTGCCCTGTGGTCCCAGGCTGGCCTTTCATGTGGGTCCCCAGAACCCAAGAATGAGCTGACTCAGGCTCCAGTTCATGGCATCATCCTGTTATGTTGAGCTGGAGGGACCGCCCAGCTGGCTTCATCCATCTCTGCTTGACCTGAAGAGCCCCTGTCAACCTCCAGAAGAGGATAGGAAGGACTCCTGCTCCGCCCAGTGGCCACAGTCCTGATCTGAGATGGGGTGTCTGGGGACAGGTGCCACTTCCTTTCTCCTTTCTGGGCAGGCACTTGTCTGTCTTTCTGCCTCTGAGTTCCAATCCTGAGGTCAGAGTGTGGAAATGACTTGTTAACTGTGTGGTCCAGACAAATGGGTAGTTGCCTGGCTTCAGAGTGTCCAGCACCAGCCTCTAGTCCTGCGTTCAGGGCTCCTTTCAGGTGCTTAGTCCATCTTTTATTTAATTTTATTTATTTTTTTTGAGACAGTCTCACTTTGTCACCTTTGGTAAAATGCCATGGCATCATAACTCACAGCAACCTCAAACTCTTAGGCTCAAGAGATCCTTTCGCCTCAACCTCTGGAGTAGCTGGTTCTATAGGTGCCCTGTACAATGCCTGGCTGTTTTTATTTGTTTATTTGAGACAGAACCTTAAGCTATTGCTCTGGGTAGGGTGCCATGGCATCACAGTTCACAGCAACCTCAAACTCCTGGGCTTAAGCAATTCTCTTCCCTCAGCCTCCCAAGGAGCTGAGACTACAGGCGCCCACCACAACGCCCGGCTATTTTTTGGTTGTAGTTGTCATTGTTTGGCAGGATTTGAACCCACTAGCTCTGGTGTATGTGGCTGGTGCCTTAGCCGCTTGAGCTACAGGTGCTACCAACTGGCTGTTTTTAGAGATGGTCTCATTCTTGCTCAGGCTGGTCTGGAACTCCTGAACTCAAGCAATCCACCTGCCTCGGTCTCCCAAAGTGCTAGGATTACAGGTGTGAGCCATCACACCCCAGCCTATTTATTTTTGAGCCAGGGTCTTGCTCTGTCACCTAGGCTAGAGTGCAGTGTGTTATCACAGCTCAGTGCAAACTTGAACTCCTGGG